AAAATAAATTGCATACTGTTTTTCGAGTTTCTACTTTCTTAATATCATTTACAGAATTTTTAGGTATCATTGTGCTCAATACTTCAAGAATATTATTGACACCTTTAATTTTTCCATTTATATCATCCTAAAAATATTTTTTTAAAAATAAATTTACATTAAATAAGTAGTAAATATCTAATATAAATATTTATACAGAGTGTTCATTAAATAAGAAAATTTTTTAAATACCTAATAATTAATGCAATATATAATAACACATTAATATTATTACATACCTGTGCTTTTCTATTTTGTTTTAATTCATCATTATAATGACCATTAGAATTATCTGATTTAAATTGATCATATTGAATTTGCAAGAATTCCAGCTCTTTTTTCAAACTCATTAATTTGGTAGTATAAGTTTCACGTTGCATCTCAAACATATTATCTTGAACATTTTTAGATTGAACATCTAGTATAAAATTTAACAATTTTTAAGAAATTAATTAAATAATTCATCAATTTAATTTAATTGTATGTTATTAATTTATTGAGTTTGATTTGAATTCTTAAAAATAACTTTTTTTAACTTGCTCTTTTTAGAATATTTTTTGAACTAGTTCCACAAATTGCACATCTCAGCACTATAATATCTTTTTAAATATAACACTTTAATTTTTTAAATTTAATTTCAATATGTAAAAAAAAAAAATTTACATTATGTAATATGAATAATATAATTGTTTATACCTGGAGTTATAGAGGTGACATTGGGAGGAGGTTTTGATATATCAATTACTTGTTTTAAATCACAATTGAATAAACCTTGATTTGAAGATTGGTAACTCTAATAAAATAAAATAATTATAAATTAGTATTAGATTAAAAAAGCAACCGTGAAACTGCAGTTTAATGAATAAATAAATAATAGTATTGAAATAAATAAATTATTTTATACCACAACTTGTTCTAAATTTGGGTGAACTTGATTAAATGGAATAGATTGTTTCTGTTCAAATTGTTGATACTGTGATCCATATTGTTGATAACTTGGTTGATACCACTGAGAATTTTGAGGCTATATGAAAAAACTTAGCATTAAGTGTTACATCAAATACTAATTAATAGTTACGGTTTAATGCTAACTGATTAAGATATGAAAAATGTGATTACTGACACTTTTTTCAAAAGTGTAATTGCTAATCCCGGGGACAGATTAGCCACTAAGATACCATTTTTACCTGAAAGCAGATTCTAACTTTTATTTAATGGATAAAGGTTTAAGTTATTTACCAAATTTTATTCAACTTGCTACTGTTTTAATTCTATCAAATGGTTTTTCCAAAAAAAGTATTAAGAATGAATAAGAAGTCCATAGGGTTCATAATATTATAATAATAAAGTTTAACCTCATAATATTGTGGTGAGGGTAAAGTTTTTGTTTTGTCCCCCTAGAAATAAGACTTTGGCTATGTCTGATTAGTGTTGCATTCAAATATTATCACACACATCCGTTTAGAAACTTTTAACTAATTTTTTAATACTTCACTTTTAGAGATAGTGGCTAAATATATTTAAATATAATTAAGCATAAAATTCATACAAATACCAGATTTAGGAAAACAATTAAACATAAAAACCAATAAAAAAATGTTTAATTCTACTATTAATATCAACAATTATAGTTTTTATGCAACTTACAACTATTGGATGTTGATATCCAGTAAACTGTGTTACTTGAGGTTGAGAAAAGTTATCAGTTGGTAAATATGAAGTAGATGTATTTGACATTCCTGTCCAGTGAGAACCATAACCTAACAAGTTTTCAGACCCTATTGTTGGAGGAAGTGATTCAGATATGTTTTTAGATATTTTAGAAATAGATGTTTGTGATATACTGCTAGGATTAGTAGATTTGCTAGATTTTTCAGTAAGTGATAGTGGTTGTGGTGTGTCACTTTTATCAGAATTTGTTATTGACATTGATCTATATTGTTTAGGTGAATTATCACATTCTGAATTAGAAGAACCTAGATCTTGTACATATATAGAGGATAAATTTTGATTTTTGTTTTTTTTTGAGTATAATTCTTTAATTTTTGGTGAAGATTTTGTCCAGTAGTCATCACTATCTTTAGAAGAAAATTCTTTTCTACCAGGAGTCTTTGGTGCTTTTGAAAAAGGTTCTTCTCGAATAGGAGAATCGTCCCAAGTATTTAAATATTGGGTTTTCTTTGCACTTTTAGAAGACTGTGAATTTTCCCAGTAATTATCATCATCTTTAGCAGAAAGTTCTAATCGACCAGGAGTTTTGGGAGCTCTAGAAGAAAAATTAGATCTCCCTGGTGTTTTTGGTTCTTTAGGAATATTTTCATTTTTTTTACCACTTTCGATCCAATACTCATCATCATCATTACCTGAATATTCAATTCTCCTAGGAGTTTTAGAATTTTTAGAAGCTTCTAATTTTTCAACAAAGTCATCAGAATCATTACTATTATCGGAAGTATTTCTAATGATTTTATTTTTATCTGAAAATTTGTTGTGTTCATCTGAAGTTTTTGGATGCCTTGATATAGATCTTCTTCTAGGTGATCTATGTTTTGAAGGAGAAGGACGCCTAGATCTACTTTTTGAACGTGAATGTGATCGGTATCGACTTGATGTATGAGAGCGTGAACGGTATCTACTATGTGAACGGCGTCTTTCAGGAGTCCGAGAGTAACGTCTTGAATTTCTAGTAGGAGAGTGATAGGGTCTCACTCGATATTGGCTTTGAGGAGAGTAAGGTCTTCCACGAGTACTTCTTTCCCAATAATTGTTTTGGTATGGTCTTCTTTGATCTCTAAAAGGATAATCTGATGAATGCTTATGATACTTAGCATCAGAGTAATATTCTTTTTTCTCTGAAGGTGAATTTCTTTCATTGTTATTATCATTATTCTCTTTGGAAGGTGATCGAGAGTTTTCTCTTGTTTTATGACGTTTATCAGATGGTGAGCTCCATGATTTTTCTTCGTGAGTACTACTTTTTTCATTGTCATCATAGCTTTCAAATTTTTCTCGAGGATCTGGTGTTCTACTACTAAGTATACTTCTACCTCGTGTTCTTCCACGATAATAACCTCTGATGAATGGTCGACCTCTAGATCTTCTTGATCCTCGATTTCCTCTTTCCATCTTAACAATATTTAACTTTAAATTATTAATGTGAATAAAATAAAAACAAAGTTGGATTTGACAGACTAAATAGCTTGGTTTAAAATAAATAGTCATGCTTTAGCAAGAACAAGTAAAAATGGGAGGAGCATAGAAGCATTTACAATATTGATTTGACATGGTCAAAATATAAAATTTTAATAGTAGGAGAATAAAATGACAGATAGATAGTAAGAGATTATGGACTAGACAAAAGAAATGAAAAACTTTGCCCTGAATTATATAAGAAATTGTAGAAATAATAAATGAAAGTAGAAAGTTTAAAAGGATATAGAAAGTCAATAAAACTACAAACTAATTAGAAATATCATTCAAAGTAAAGCAAAGGGGAAGCCAATGGAAAATGGTGAGATAACCAGTGTACCAATAGATAAAGAATTGGAAAAAGGAAGAAGTGACTTGGTTTTTGAGATTGTGAAAAAACTATTTAGCATAAGAATATTCAATGAGAATGCTCTATAAAGTAAAACGGGTGAAATACTTTTAACAGTTGAGTAATATGTAAAGAGATAGAAGGAATACCTAGAATAACTGTACGCAGGATGACTTACTTACATGGAATATTAAAAATAATTATGGAATGAAATTTAACAAAAAGAAAACAAAAGTTATGAAGTAAAACTAACTCTGTCCAACTCAATATTAAGATCGAAAATAAACAAATAAGTCAAATACAACATTTCATATATCTTAGAAGCAATAAAACAGAGGATAGGCAGAGCAAAATAATTATAATCTCCAGTATAGCATAGGCGACAAATAGCTTTTCAAGACAAAAGTTATATATTAACTACTAATGTTAGCTTGGAGATAAAGAAGATATTCCTGAAAAGTTATACATGGAGTGTTGGACTTTTTAAATGTGAAACATTATCAATGGAAAAAAATGGTCTTGAAGTCTTTGAGACGTGATGCTTCAGAAAAATGCTTAAGATATAGTGGACAGAGAGGATAACAAATGAGAAGGTATAAGATAAAATAAAAATGAAAACTATGGAAATGTATTCAGTCCAAAAAAAATAAGATAATAGGACACATTTTAAGAGATGAAAGTTTTTTAAAGAAAATAATTGAAGATGTTGAAGGCCACATAGCAACAAGAAAACCAAAGGCAGAATTCGTGTTATAGATAATAAAAGAACTTGCAAAGACCTAAAAAAATTTTCTCATAATAGAGAAGTATGAGAGCAACAAATAGTTCTAGATTTAAAAAAAAAAAATGATTTTTAAGTATTAAATGCAAAGTAAAAAATTTAAATAAGAATGGAAAAATTGTAAAAGTATGTATACTATTATACAAGAGAATGTTACTCTTTCCCAATGTCTTCAAATTTTATAAATAATTACTTTCGATCATAAGAAAAAATAACTGATAGCAGAATTTTAAACATAGTTATAAACAGTTTTTACTTACTTATTATTACGATTATGTTCTTAAGCAATCCAATAATAAAAACAAAAAATATTATGTTTTAAAACACTTAGCCACATTAAAGAAAAAAACGTGTTATAACTTAAAACTAAATCTTAAAACATAATAAGAGATGCGATTTGACAAACAACAACCTAGGCACCAATATACGGTAGATAACAGTACGTTTGATACTATCGATATTATGTATCAATTTTTTTTGCGATTTTTCGTAGCACGATGAAACTTTTGTAAATTTACCAATATTTTTTGATAATGACAATTCTTTGACGATCTTCAAATTAAAGTTATTTATTTTCAATAATACTTTGTTATGATTAATTATTTGTCTTTATGATAATATTTTTACAAATTTTATCCGATATTATTATTTGCTAATTGAAAAAAATATGTTAAAAATGATAATTATAATATGATTTTTCAAATTTTGTTTTAGTAAAGGATTGAATCTTTAAACTTCTTTAATTTTGATTCATGTGGGCTTCGCAAATCATAGACAAAACTAGAAGGCTAAAAAAATTTAAATTTAAACAAGTACAAAAGATATTATACGGGACTTTAAGTGAGGAAGACGGTGAAAAATATGAATCACGTATTTCAGAATTGGTCGAAAATAATAATAAAATTCTTGTAATTACGCGTGAACGTATTATGAAGTCTAACATGGAAAATTTAAATAGTTCATTTTTTTATAGTTAAAAAAGTTTAAAATTAGGTTTATTGTTATTCAACTTGTGTATAAGCCGCGTAAGTAGCAGTGGCATACCTAAGATTATTCAATGGAAAGTTCTTATACAAAAATATAGTAATCTTATTTTAAAGTGATTTTTTAATCCAAGGGAGGGGGTAATGACCGCTTCTCTGTGTAGATATTTTAGTCACACCTGGATATGAAACTATTAAGCTGAATTTAAACAGAATTTTTATAATTTTCCCTCGCCTAAAAATATTTTTATATTATATTATATACCATTTTTCTGGATATTTGAAGAGATAATTTTTTTTCAGCTTCGATGAGAAAGTATTTTAGGTCTAGACTGCTAATATGATTTTCTCAGGTCTAGTGACATAACTAGTAAGAGATTTTAAAGTGACATTTTACTCCCCCTTCAAGAATTCTTATTAAAATAGTATCAAAATTTAGAAATGTGTACTTAAAAAAGGTTCTCAGAAATGATAAAGAATCAGCTTTTAATCTGAAAGGAACACACTTATAATACTTCGGTGGCTTTTGTAAGCCATGTTGTGTTGATGTTCGGGCTTTGTAAAGCATCGGTTAAATCAGGTTTTTCAACTAAACTTTTTTTTGGGTTGTAAAAATATCACAGAGATTGCTGGGGTTGGATGAATTTAAAAGGTATTAATAGAGGGAGAAATCATTTTAGATTTAGACACTAAAAATATCATAGAATTTCAAGTACACTAATGATGCTCCTGTATCATTATGAGAACGTATTGATTGGTACTTTTATTTCAATTTGATAATAAGTGAGAGTATTAATTTATTATTATTGACATTAACAATAAATTACAATAATTATAATTTATATACTATCCCTATCTAAAACTAACTAAACCAAGTACTAAATGTACGATTTTTAATTTGATTATTTCCAAATATAACTTTTAAGGGTTTTATTAAAAAGTAATAAAACATTTTTTCTTACAAAAAAAAAAATGGTAAACTAGAAAAGCGAAAATAACTTCTTCGTATTTCTATAACAAATAAATCTGATAGTACTGATGGACACATCACATTAATATTTGGTATTATAATATATGCTATCAACTTGTGAACATTACCAAGATACATATTCTTCTCAAACAAATCGAAATCGTGGTTACCAGATATGTGGTAAAGTGATGTCACCAACCCACAACCAATCAAATAATCTACCTAAGCAGACAAATTTCTATCAAGTGAAGAATATTGTGAAAGATTCCATTATTTTAGAACGTTGTTGAGTATTTTATTATTATAGTATTATTTTAACTGTTATCCATATAGTTTGTCATTAATAATTTGAATACTATTTTTAAATACTAATGTGTATTTTAAAAAAAAAAATTGTTGTCTGATTTTATTCTTTTATGTAAAGACTAACCAAGTAGGTACAAATTATAATTAAATTATTAATTATTTGTAAATAATTAACTCAGATTTTTTCAACTATATTTTTTCTTATAAGTTAGCATTGAATTAATTGTATATATGACATAATAATAGATAGTCAAAATGACTGTGATGTCTCAAGAAGAAATGGTGGTTGGCATTAAAACTGTTGCTCAGGGATTAGAAGCTCTGAAAAATGAGTTGATTGCGTCCAATAATCCGTCAGGTCAAAATTTTACCCAACCAGAAGAAAAACAATTGATGCTCCAAAAAACATTGGATATGACTGAATTAGGTCTAGGAGAAGCTCAGGTAAAAGATTCTAAAAAATATTTATTTCTATTTATTATTACTAATCAATACAAAATTGTGAAACATTCATGAAACAGATGATTAGAAAAATCTAATTAACTTTTAGAAGTTAAATAAATTGTTATATATTAAAATTTTGAGTATAAAATCTGAAACCAGTTAGGTAAAAAGTAATGTGTACAGGCATGTGTTAGGTTTTCAATTAAAATATCTTATCTCGGTACCAAAAATAACTTGCTTTTGTATTATATGTTACTTAACTGTACTATAATAGTTATTTGAATTTTTTAATGTAGGCTCTTTCAAATAAAAATTATATATACGTACATTTTTTTTTTTTTTAATACACAATCATACAGTATCCTTTTGTTAAAGTGCTTTTAAAAAATTAATTAAAATTATCATAATATTTAGGTAATGTTGGCATTAGCATCTCACCTTCAAAATGTTGAAGCGGAGAAACAAAAGTTAAGAACTCAAGTACGTAGGCTATGTCAAGAAAACGCATGGCTTCGTGATGAATTGGCAAACACTCAACAGAAATTGCAAGCATCAGAACAAGCTGTTGCATTATTAGATGAGCAAAATAAACATCTTGAATTCATGGCGTCTATTAGCAAATTTGATGCTGATAAGGTAATAATTACTACAAAAATCTACCAATATCAAAATATCTAATATCAATATCAAAATTAACTACTTAAATATTTTTTTATTAGCATCCTAATAGATCAATAATCTTAGTTCGAAGCTATTTTTAAAGTTTTTTATGTAAAATAAAAATCAAATTAAAAACTTAATTTTATCAACATCGTTCTATTGTTATTATGCTTGATGTATGTTTATTTTTATGGTCTGATAATAACAACTTATATTAAATAAATGTTTAATTTAAGACAGTATATCCTAACCTTTTTGACTTCATGGCATAGTACTTTGTTTTACTATGTACAGAAGCAGTGCCATACTTAACCTCCCGACAAATAGTAAGTCTATATAAAATAATTTCATAGCACACTTATAAAAGTCAGACAGTATATAATTGCTTTATGATACATAAGTTAGAAAATAACTAATATAAAGTTTGTCAAAAAAGTGCCTATTAATAAATATAATTTATCTTCATCAGATATAATCAAAATAATTTGGAAAAATTGTTGATCAATAACACATCTCATAAGAGTAACATTTTTTTGAATAACTGTTTATAGGTTGAATATTCTAAAAACATGTGTAGTCTATCATATTTACTTGTTCAACTCATTTTTTTGTATATACGAAAAATATATGATATTTATTTAAAATAGTTGTGAACATAATAAGTCAAAAAAGAACTACATTTTTAATATTTTTTATTATATTTTAGACTGAAGATCAGACTGAAAACAAACAAGAAAAATCTAAAAATGATGATCCAGTGGTAGATTTATTTCCAGATGATGACAATGAAGAAAGAAACAGTAATTTAAAGTTTAATCATTATTATTACACTGGGAGTAAAAATAATAATTGTCATGCCATTGTTAAATAGTTACATGTATAAGCAGTTATTCTTATCATGCACAAAGTTAAAACATTTTTTCTCCTACCCCCTTAAATATATTGATATGATGTATATCAACTTTCATGGAAGTGTACGAGAATGTGAATTAAAAGTGCTAGGTGGTAGTCTCTATTATTGGTTAGTCTCTACTACTAACTTTTTTAGTATAAGGTTTTAGTATAGTGCCTTTTTTTCACATGATTTCTGATACACTTTCGATGACCAACCATCAATCCCTGATGACTATAGCACATTGAAAAGAACAATGACTATCTATTTAATGATTCTAAATCTGCAAAAATTAAGGCTAATATTACTACAAAAAAATGATAGAAACAGCGCTTAAATTGTTAGGAAGCAACATGAATGAAATAAATGAATGCATTGTTAGTCTTTTGCAAGTAGCTAAAGTAGTACACTTATAATTTTTGAATAGTACATTCAAAAATTATAAAATCAGTTATTTTTCAAATACATTCATTGTGAATTCTTGGCGAGTTTTGAGAGGATTTATCCTCCTAAAATTTACAAAACTTTGTTAATGATAAGTGATAATGTGTTATTAAATCTATATATATAATGTTATAAAGTTAAATATTAAATAATAACTTGAAAAAATTTCTTTCTAATTTATTCTCTTATTTTATTATCATTTTTTCACTATTATACATTATGTTACTATTATTATTTTAAGTTCATTTTGATTTGTTTTCCTTAGTTTCTTATTCTTATTTTATTTTTTAATAATTAAATTCAAGCATTGTCACCAACACCACCTTCACAATTTGCACAGCAAGTTAACGCTGGAGCAGGTTATGAAATTCCTGCTCGTTTAAGAACATTACATAACTTAGTAATACAATATGCATCTCAAGGCAGATATGAAGTTGCTGTACCTTTGTGCAAACAAGCTTTAGAAGATCTAGAAAAAACATCTGGACATGATCACCCGGATGTTGCTACAATGTTAAATATTTTAGCACTTGTTTACAGGTAGATATCAGAATAAATAAAAAAAATTTTTGGTTTGTTTTAAGCAAAGTTAGGACACAAAGTTATTTCTATTCCTAGTTTAAGATTATCTTATAGTATAGGAGTTGATTGCATCAGGGCTGGATAGATTACAGCCTCTATGGACACTTTTGTATCTCCAAAAATAAACTTTGTACTTTTAGGGTGGGACAAGGTAATGTAATGGAATTGCTCTCTTTTCAGACTTATATATTAAAGCATGTGACTAAAACCCTTATAGAATTTGTTTTCAANTGTGACTAATACCCTTATAGAATTTGTTTTCAAACAACACCCATGTAATCTGAATAAAGTTAAAGTCAGGAAACTATAGTCCTTGATAATATAATATTGCTAAAAATTATAAATTATACATAATTTTATTGAAATATACCCATATTAGCCATTACTTTCATCTGAATATAATAAAATAACTGAAAAATCTAATTATTTCTTCACACATTTTTATCACGTTAAAGGAACAATTTTTATTGTCAAATATTTATATTGTTGTAAAAAGTAAGCTAATTATATAGATTTATATGTTCAAATGAATAGCAGAACTAAGTTAGAAAAAGTATGCCTTTGAATATTCCATCTACTTAATGTATTTTTGGATATCTCTAGAATTTTATTAATATTTTGACAATATGAAAAGTGTAATTGAATTTTTTGTTATTTTTAAGAGATCAAAATAAGTATAAAGATGCAGCCAATTTATTAAATGATGCATTAGCTATCCGAGAAAAAACCTTAGGCGAAAATCATCCTGCGGTAAGTTTTAATTAAAATTTTTATTATGAAATAAGCAAGTGTAAAAATGTTAGGATAATGTTTGTATTTTTCTTTAGAGAAACATAGTGCTTATATTATACGTTAGCTTTTATTTTGTTAAGTATATTATGTACAGAATGATTCTTTTAACGCTAGCCACTCAATTTTTCTTAAATAATAAGATTTTTGAAATTTTAATTTTGTTAGTTACATATGTATTTCCATTTATCTGTTATAATACAATTTGTAGGTCCATCCCTTATAACATAGGGATATCAATTATATTTTTTTAAAAGGCAACCTACTTATTAAACTAGCTTATAAAATAGAAATTGAGATAATTCAGCAAATGACTGGTCAATAACAATTTTTGAACCAGTACTTCAGGAGTTATTAACAAATTAAATTAATGACTGAAGGTCAGGACTGAGTACAGCATTTTTTATCACTATTCATTTCCTGGCTGTACTCTTCCTCTCGCTAAAGTATGAAAATGAGAGTAACTATTGAAGTATTTGTCCAAAAGTTGTTATTGACCAGTCATTTTTTTAAGTTGAATGGATAAAAAAATTATAAGAACAAAATTGTACATTTTTAGCTTTGATGCGAAGCTGAAAAGGTATTAATTTTATCACAATGTGTTTTTTTTTTGTCTGTTGCCATTTTTACTTGGCTCTCTCTGACCGATTTTGATGAACAATTGGTCAAAAGATCAGAAATCGTATCTAGTTGAAAACATTACACTTCAAAAAGGAAAAAAATTTCTCATTCTCGTAAATGGGGGGATATCCAAATAAATTACAATTTTTAAAATTGGTATATTTATGTAAAATTTCTATGTAAAAATGGTTGTCTTAGTTAAAAAAAATGCTATTTTTGTGTTAAAATTTTCGATTTTAAATTTTCAACTTTAAATTGCTATTACTTTTTGAATAATATATGTATCAACACATTTTTTTTTTTTTCTAAATACATTATATATACCTCTTTAATTTAACATACTTTTTATTTAAATAGGACAATTTTCCTTTATACGGGGGGCTTTCAAAACTTGAAAAATACGTATAAAAAGTAGAACTTTTTCAACTTAACTTTTGAAAATGTTCCGGAAATTTACTGCATTCTTTAAACATATGTCAAATTAAAGCTTACAATTAATACTATAAGTTCAAAAAAAAAAATTGTCCCGACACTTTTTCTTTTATAGAAAAATAGCTTTTGAATTTAACGAAACTTATAATTTTTATGTAAAAATCACTGTTTAACATGAAATATTTTTATACTTAAAACTGCCATAACTTTTTGAAAAATGAACAAATTAAAATAATTTTTTTCAAAATCTGACTAAACCTATTTAATCTAACAATTTTTGCACATAAGTTAAACTTTTTCAATGTTATATTATTAGAATATTATTAGAAATTATTACTATGACGTCTATTTAAATGATCTGTTACGATAAAAATGCAAAAAATTTGAGCTTTACTAATAAATTTACTGTAAATATTATTTATAAAATTTCTTGAGTGCATATTAATCCTAACAATACCATATTTTTTTTGGTAATAAATTCTTTTTTTTTTTTATTATAAACTTTTCGAACAATCTGCTAGAGCAACACTTTTTGATGTTATTATTATTATTGTTACTTTTAATTTATCTTTGCAGTATTTTAAATAGCTACTTTTGTAACTTTTAGTTAATATTTTGTTAAAACTTTTGTTTGTTTGGTTTACTACAAAACTATCTTCTTTCTCATTATTTATTTAAACCATTGTTCAGGAATATTTTCAGTGCATTTAATTTTTTGGGACCATTTTATATATATATTGAAATTTCAGACACTAATTAAAATTTCTTGTAATATTTAGCATTAAAACTATATTAAATAATATCAGCCATAAGTGATCAATTTATCAAGGTAAATTTTAATGTAAAATAACATTCAGTACCTTGATAAATCAGAGACTTATTAAGCATCTCATAATTGATTCTGTTAATTCACTATATCCAGAGCTAGTAACTTTTATTTTCTGTTCAGTAACATAATTATCAATAGTAAGTATATTAGTTAGTTAGTATATTAGTATTTTGATATCATGTCTCTTTAATGTTTTCTCTATAGCTAATAGGTAATTCCAAAATTTTGTTTCCAATTTAATAAGTTTTGTTCAGTTAGTTTATTATTAGTTCACTGGTGGTCATTGTAATATGCATGCTTTATATGTGATCACCAACACAAGTTAATTCATTATTTTAAAAACTGATTAACTATAAATATTTAATATAACATATGACATTACATTTAATGTTTCAATATACATATAATATAACAACACGTAAATATATATATATATACAGGGTGATTTTTTTATCATAACCCACTCAATTACTTATAGAATAATAATAATTTAAACATTTTTTTTTTTT